TGAACTCGAAAGACTGTAACCGATCGCATCTGGGTTCCTATCGCCCCGAGACTGGTTTTCTATTCATCATTTTGACAGGAATGGCCTCATCCGGCATATGAATTCTGCTTTGATGATGTCCGTTTTGAACCTTTTACTCAATGTCACATGCAGGCCAGTCCTGCCTGACCCGCCTATTTATCCCTTCATGAAATCCGTTATACACTGCCACATACAGGCCGGTCCTGCCTGCTTTTTATACATTCATGAGTGACAGTTTTTTTCCCATAGTTTTACTCCAATCCTACTCATGTTACTTATATGTTAGGAGTTTCCACCCTGCTCGCTCATCATTCTTCGTAACATACTACTTATTAAATAACTATGAATCATGTAATGTATAGATTCTGCATACCTGTACTAAAATTCGTGTAAAAGTTATTCTTACTTGCTATGAAAGGACCCTTACTAGTCTTGAATAAAAATCATTATTATGATTCTGATATATTTTCCTAGTGTCTCATGTTCTCAGCAAACATTTTAGGCAGCTTCCACACTGTCGTTTGCAGTTATTATTCCGTAGACTTCTATTGTCCCCCCCTTCAGTTCTTCTTCCCTCCGTTACCTCCCCCCCATTTTTGCGATGTGAACAGTTGTTGCGAGCAGGTTCAAGGCCATTCACCCCTTGCAGCGAGCCGTTCCAGAGACGCTGGCCTGAAGCCACTTGACCGACTTCAGCTCGAACACAATTGCGTTCTCACAGTGTCGCGGCCACCCACGCGCCACCCCCTGTAACCAGCAAAACAAGCCACTGGAACACTACCTCTCGGCAAATGCAACACACACTGACTGCCCACCACTTGAGCTTCGCCCGCGAGCCTACAAAAGCGGCTGCCACCACTATTGCAGGGACTCTCAGGCATGAATGCACGCAGTCAACACTGGCCCTGGCTTCCTCAGTGCCCACTACCGCCTGAGAGGACAACTCCGGCTTCGGCGTACAATAAACCCCTCATTATGGTGCCTTCCGCCTTCTCCTTCCAACATGGGATTTCACTTGATAATTTTAGCTCACATACTACAAATTCTCCCTGCTGTGACGCTACATGGTCTCATTTAATTCCATCTGTTTTGTTACCCCTAAGCCTTTCCTTTTAAGAGTCCCGAAAAGTTATTTAGTGCCTAGCATATGTGTTCTATGCTACTAAGGCCTTGAGAATAAACGTCCTCTTATTCCGAAGCCTGTTGGCCTGGGTTCGGTCCTGGTGACAGAGTCTTGTTTTCCTGATATAAGTCGGTTCATGAGTCTAACCAACTACTGTCAATCGCTTGTTGGCGATTTAACGTGCATATCCGCGCACGATTGTCCCTCGCGGCATGGCATGAAATCATTTCTGGGGGTAATTTTCTCTTCTCCATTGTGAGAGCACCTCTTTCGTTATTCAAATCTGATGGATTCATTTCCATGTCATGCAGGATCTGACAGTCGGCAATGAACCCAAAAAATCAATTCGAATACATCCCTACCGACTAGGCACCAAGGTCGACTAAAGAACTACGATCTTGAAGATGACTCATCATTTCGTCTGACGACGGGTTGGTGTCACCAATTAGAAAATTCACGAGAACAACTCGATTTTTCCGAAGAACCTCTTCATTTTTCATCATTTATAGTATTTAAAAGGACCTTATCTACGAATACACATAAGCCCTCGGGATTACACGCGTAGTAGGCCTCGGAGGAGCATTTTCATGCGGAAAGATGAAAAAAAATTAAGACAGCCTGGACGAGGGCGGCTGTAGCTACGGATCCTACTTTCTTACATATGTGGCCAGTTGCCTGGATTGTCTGAAATGAGAGAGAGGAAAGAGAGGGTAGTATTTGCTGATGATCTCAGATTGTGGGAAGCATTATTCAAGTCAATGGACACGCAAAGGCGGAAATTAACATACTTCTATGGTTTCCTTCGAACCATTTCAGTCCACATGATTTTTATACAGACTGTACACAATTTCACTTTACAACCAGGTTCTCAAAGGCTCATGGCTGTTCCCCATACTACAGTGGACTAAAGTGAAAAATAATGTGAGTTAGTTGTGACAATTATGTGTTGAATGGTCCCTGCATTTCAATTTCAGCTGATGCCAAGTTATTGGACTTCGCTTCACCAAATAATGAAAGATAAGACTTGTTTTAAAAACTTGAAGCATTTTGTCCCCGGTATGAATCTGAAGTAGGCAAGAACGGCAGGATTTATTGGCACCAAAAAA